ACCTGTGATCCCAGCACTCTAGGAAGCTGAGGCAGGAAGGTGGCAAGTTTAAGCCGCCGAGTCTGGGCAGTTTAGCCACTTAGTAAGACTCCATCTCAAAATACAAAGTAGCTCAGTGTAAAGGCCCTGAGTTGAACCCCCAATACCATCAAAAATAAGTATACAGAAACATGAGAATACTTATAATGTTTTAAAGCAAAGTAAAAAATTATATCTGTACTATGATTATAATCATCTAAAATGTGTACCTGTTTGGAACAAAAACCAGAAAGGAACCTAAATAAATGAAAAATGTTGCTTCATTCCCCTGGGGGAGGAAAAGTGAGTGCTCCTTTCTTGCTTGTCCCACAGAGCACCAGAAGTGTCTGGACAAACTCCTCAATAACTGCCTGTTGAGCTGTACCATGCAGGAGCTAATTGGCTACTATATTACCATGGAGGAGTACTTCATGAGGGAGACTGTCAATAAGGTAGGACACAGGACACATCTTTTGCAAAAAGGGTTGTTTATCCACGAAGCCAGGCTGAAGGTCTGTCATGTTTCTTGGTTCTGCTTTGAGAACATTGGCATACAGACTGAGCAGCACTGCTCTGTGTGGTAAGAGGGCATCTATGAAATTGTCATGCTCTTCATATACCTAGCTGGGGTTTCCTTCCCAAGAATTATAAAAGAACAGCTCAGCTCCCCAGGCAGCCTGCTTGTTCCCTGTCCCTGGAGGTATGTAGGTAAGGAACTGTGGGAGAATAGGGCCTTTCCTGTGTCCAACATGCCAGGTACTGGCTGTCACCAAAACAAAGACCCTTAGAGCCAGACGTGGTGGTAATCCCAGCATTCAGGAGGTTGAGGCAAGAGGATTGCCAGGAGTTCAAGACTAGCTTGGCGGCCTGGGGATTTAGCTCAGCGGCACAGCGCCTGCCTAGCAAGTGCGAGGTTGTGAGTTCGATTCCTGGTACAGGAAAAAACAAAAAAAGAACAACTAAATGAATGAATGATAAAGGCCCTAAATATTACATTTCCTAATGTAGTGATCAGTAGAGAAGTGAAATATTTTAGCAAGCTGTGACTAGAATAGCCATGGTAGGGAAGTATAAGACAAAGTGTAGAAAAGGAAGCAGAGCCAGGACAGTATAACCAGAGTCGTCCAGCACCCAACATGCAGCACCAGGGTACTTACTGGGAGCTTTGCTTCTGGGTAGGCAGTAGCTCTGGACACCTATGAGAAGGGCCAGTTGACCTCCAGCATGGTGGATGACGTTTTCTACATTGTGAAGAAGTGCATCGGGCGGGCTCTGTCCAGCTCCAGCATTGACTGTCTCTGCGCCATGATCAACCTCGCCACCAGAGAGCTGGAGGCTGATTTCAGGTACAGTTGACCCCCTTTCTCCTTTCTCAGCACAAAGATTCTGGTTGTGGTTAATTCCTGAGGCTGATTTGTTTCTTCCCTTTTTTCTCTATGACTCTAGTTCATTTCTATTCAAGACACAAGCTCCTGTCCTTAGCACAACATCTTTAGCTCCAGGCAGCTGTCAACCAGATTTTAAGTGCCAAATTTCTGTTCCCTGGGTTGTGTTGGAGGGGCCATTGGCCCCTAGATCTAGGACAGAGAGCTAGTGGTTCAGTGAAAGCAACAGCTGTAGCAAAAACCATAATCTGTTCCTACAGGCTAAGCCCTATGCTAATTCTCTGCTCAGTTTTAGTTCTAATAACCCTGTGAGGTAGAACTATTAGGTGTTTTGTAGATGTGGGAGAGATTCCATCCCTTGTCAAAGATCACACACTCCACGAGTAGTGAAATATAGCGTCCAGAACTGATCAACTCAAAACCTTCTCTTTCCTGTCCTGCACAGTACTGCCTTTCACTAAGCATACTGCCTCCTTTCTGTTGGAGCTCAGTGATGATAACTGAAAGCCTCATAAGAAGTAAAGAATTGAGCTGGGTGTGGTGGCACACATCTGTAATCCCAGCACTCAGGAGGCTGAGGCAGGAGGGTCAATGCGCATTTAAGGCCAGCCTAGGCTACAAAGTGAGTTCAAGGCCAGCCTGAACTACATAGTGAAACCCTATCTCAAAAAGACAAAACAAAAAAAAATAAAAAACAAAACAATAGGGATAAAAATGGTTGATGGAAAAAAAATAAAAAACAAAAGAAGTAAAGAATTGGCTAAAAGGACAACTACAGTGACATCATCAGTGCCATCATGGAACCAGTGATACAGCTGTGGACCAGAAGCTGAGTCCATCCTACCCCTTTCCCCAGCTCTGTTGCTCAATAAATCAATATCCCATCATTAAGAAAGAAGAAGGAAGGGAGGGAGGGAGAAGGAAGGAAAGGAAAGGAAGGAGAAAAAGAAAGAAAAAGAATTGATGGGTGTGGTGATATAAACCTATAATCCCAGCATTTGGGAGGCTGAGGCTGAGGCAAGAGGATTGTCACAGGTTCAAGTCCAGCCTGGGCTACATAGTGAGTTCAAGGCCAGCCTGGATTACAGAGTGAGACCCTGTCTCTCAAAAAGAGAGAGATAATGATAAAGAACTGGCCAATCTGTGTCCCCGCAGGGATGTTGGTTGTGTCATATCCTGGCTCCTGAGGTCTCCTACAGTGGTCTGAAGGAGTGGCTTTCTCCTGCTGGGTCAGGGTAGTAGACACTCTGCTCCCACTGTCCTGGAGGCCAAGCTGAGCGCTGTCACTCCCCATATGCCATTCTGCCACCTAGGGGCGTTCTGTCCAACAAGCTGAGGATGGGCTTCCCGGCCACCACCTTGCAGGACATCCAGCGCGGGGTGACAAGCGCCGTGAACATCATGCACAGCAGCCTCCAGCAGGGCAAATTTGACACAAAAGGCATTGAGAGCACTGATGAGGCCAAGCTGTCCTTCCTGGTAAGTGGTCCCAGGTTGCAACACTGGGTCAGCTTTTCCAGACAGATTAAACTGCAGCCTCCAAGCCGTAGCCTAAAAGCCTTAATTGAAGGCTTTTCCTCCCGTGTCTGTATGAAGGGAAACGCGTTTAAGGAAAGCTCCTCCTGGAAGGCTCTGAAACCACCGCTTACCCGGGGACCTATTCTGAGCAGCCCGAGCCAGGATATGCAGCTCTGTAGCCAGGAGCTGGCTGCCCAGCCCTCCTGAGTCCTCATTCCCAAGCACTCTGCCCAGCTGTTCGGGGTCCTGCCCTATGTCCAGCTTGGCACACATTTGCCATCTGTGACATCTGTGCTAGGCCTTCCCACGGCATGTCTGAGGAGAGGCCTACAGCACAGGTGGGTATAGTCCTTTAGGCCTCCCAGGACCACTTTTCTAGCAACTTCCTCTGGGAAGGTGGCCCTTAGAGCCCTTAGTTACACACAATGGACAGCAGATGTGATGAAGCAGTGAATTCTACCAGCTGTCTGACAGTTAGGGAAGGAAAAGCATAGAGAGATGAAAGGATCTGTGCGAGATAAAAGCTAGTTCGTGATAAGCCAAAGACAACACATGGGAGTTTGAAGCTCTTAGGCCTCTCTGGCACATGCTGCCATTTTGTGGTGTGGTGTGGTTGGATTTGGTTTCGTTTTGGTTTATTGGTACATGTTAGATATACATTGTGATGACATTCATCATAGGGGATTTTATACCTGCACCCAACAGATCTTGTTTCTTTTTTCCCATTCCCCTTCCTTCCTTTCAACCCCTCTTGCCCTGATTCTTTACAGAAGCTTTGTTTTCTTTTTTTTTTTTTTTTTTTTTTTTGTTTGGTTTGGTTTTTTCAGCCAGGGTTTTACTGGTAGCCTAGGTTAGCCTTGAACCCGTGCTTCTCCTACTTCAACCTCCTAAGTGCCAGGATTGTTGGCAAGCACCAACACACCCAGCTGCACATGCTGGCATGCGTGGGAACAGCAGTGTCACAGGTCCAGTTGTGCTGTGTTCTCCACATTGGCTAGACTGTGAGTCTTTGCTTAAAGACTGAAGGAAACACCTAACAGCAGAGCTGTCAACAGAGCAGTCCACAGATGGGTTGGATATAAAATGTGGACATGTACTTTTCTAGAAACAATGCACTTAGCACCTATCAGATTGTTAGGAGTATCAGTTTGTTTGTTTGTTTGTTTGTGGCCTTGAATTCACTGTGTCACCCAGGCTGGCCTTAAACTCATTATGTATCCCAGGCTAGCCTCAAACTCATGTCAGTTCTCCTGCCTCAGCCTTTTGGATGCTGAGGTTACAGTTATGCACCACCATGCCCAGCTTCTGTCAGATTCTTAAAGGGATCTGGGACCCCAAAAGCCTGATGCTTTCAGAGACAGAAGCCTAAACTTGCTAATATTTATCTTGCCCCTTTACAGGTGAACCTCACTAACCAGCCATCAGATCCAATCTGTAGGCTATGTAGGCAGCCCACTCTCTCCCTGTCATTGAAAATGTTTTTTTCTGCGTATGAGTTCTGTCAGTCAGGGATGTCAGGGCTGGGGATACAGCTCAGTGGCACAAGCGCCTGCCTGGCAAGTGTGAGGTTGTGAGTTCTGTTCCTGGCACCAAAAAAAAATCACCATGCAGGCCGGGCAGGGCAGCACACACCTGTAATCCTAGCTCTCGGGAGGCTGACGCAGGAGGATTGTTGTGAGTTCAAGGCCAGCCTGAACTGCATAGCGAGACCCTGTCTCAAAAAGACCAAAAATATATATATATATCTATCAGGGATGTCATGGTTGTTGCCAAAAAAGAGCATCAGCTCAAACCAGTTGAAAAGACATGTTAAAGTCCTAGCAACTCAGGAGCCAAAGGAAGGAGGGAGGATCATGAGCTCTAGGCCTGGCTGGGGCCTTTGCCAAATGTCCCAAGCCAGCATCATATGATCATGAACTGTCTTCCTTTTTACCTCCCCACAGAACTTTTTTTCTTTTTTTTTTTCTTTTTTTGTGACAAGGCCTCCCTATGCAGTTCCGGCTGGCCTTGAGCTCACTTTGTAGCCCAGGCTGGCCTTAAACTCAGAACAATCCTCCTGCCTCAGTTTCCCAAGTGCTGGGATTATAGGCGTGCGCCACCACACCCAGCATCATTCTTTCATTTCTCTGCTCAGAAGCATTCATTGTCTTCTTGCTGCCTACCACATCAAAGCTAGATGTCTTTGTCTGGTTGGCTGTTTAAGGCCTCCTAAAGCCATCTACCTTTCCAGTCCTGTGTTCCACACTCGACTACACATCCCCAAGGCTAGCCAGTGTCCTTCACACATGCATTGCCCTGTGAGGACCTCCCACTGCGACAGTTTCATTGTCAGACAGCCCAGAAGATAAGGCCAGAAAGAAAACTGACACTAAGTGCTTGATGACAGATTTCTAGTTTTCCTGATGCCAAACACTTAAATGTCACTGCTTCTACCTAGAGCCTATTTTTTATGTCACTTTGATTCATTTGGCTGTCACGATGAATTCCCCAACCATACTGACATAGCATTTGCCATGAGCGAAGGATAAGCCCAGTGAGTCCATGCTTACAAAGGTACAAGGGAGACTGTCAGTCAGTACCGTTTGAACCCAACCCATTTTCCCCTCATGACAATAATTCTTGGTGTCCTCAAATGTCTTGCAAAAACATTTATGTTGTGGTCTTTGTCCTTCAGCTGCCATGAGAGTGAAGTTGCTCCTCAGGAAATTTGCAGTGTAGGTAGGCTAGTGCTGCAGCATTTTTGGCTTTCCTATCCACACCAGGATGGCCGAAGCAGTGCTATCTATCAGCAGCAGAATTCTTCAGTAGTAGCTGAGCACACACTGGCAAACTCTGAAGTTCCAGGAGATACTCCCTGGGGCTCTGGGATCCTCTTTTTCTCTTTATTTTATTCATTCTTTCATGTATTCATTCATCTGTTTAGAGACAGAGTCTCATTATGTAGTTCAGGTTGTCCTTGAACTCACTGTGTAGCCCAGGCTGGCCTCAAACTCACAGTGATCCTCCTGCCTTGGCCACCTGAATACTAGGATTGTCTATGGCCATACCACTCTGAATGCGCCGATCTCATCTGAATACTGGGATTACAGGCATGCATCGTCACGCCTGGCTGGCAGTCTCCTTTTGTCCTGAAATCCTGAAGTTACTGACTCAGGTTTCCTCCCTGTCTGGCCTCCTGGCCATGACACCAGCATGCCAGTCCAGAGGGAGTAAAGCACTCTAATTCCTGCCACTCACAGCCTCTGGACTAGTATCCCCGGACCACAGGGCTCACGTGGCATTAACCTGTCCTAGGCACTCGTCAGTGCCACTCCATTGTGCACAGGGCAAAGCACCAACTGTAGCACCCGAGTGTTAGTTGGACCTGATACTTATTTCCAGCTCTGCATCTACTCCCTGTAGTCTGTCAACTGACTGCAATTCTCCAGATACCTTGGGGGATTTTCTGCCACTCCGCATTTGCTTTTGATTATTCCTTTTCCACAGTATTCACTCACTCGTTGATTTAAGAGATTTCAAAAATCAGGCATAGGAACATACACCTGTAATCCCAGCACTTGGGAGGCTGAGGTAGGAAGATTTCTAGTTTAAGGGCTATGTAGTGAGTTCAAGGCTGATTTAGACTACATAGTAAGACTCTGTCTAAAAAGAAAGAGAAGAAAAAGAAGCTTCTATATATCAGGTACTATTATGGATTCTAGCACTGAGGTGCCCAACACGTGACCATTAACCACAAGGAACTATTTAAATTTACATTCAAATTAAAAATCTAGTTCCTAAGTCATATACACCACTGTTCACATGCTCAGTAACTTCACATGGCCAGGGTCTAACTTCACATGGCAGGTTTAGAATATTTTCATCATCGGGCTGGGGATTTAGCTCAGCGGCAAAGCGCATCATCAAGAAGTAATGGAAAGCTGGACGTGGTGGCGCACGCCTGTAATCCCAGCACTCTGGAAGCTGAGGTAAGAGGATTGTTGCGAGTTAGAGGCCAGTGTGGGCTACAAAGTGAGCTCAAAGCCAGCCTGAACTAAAGATAAAAAAAAGAAGAAAAAGAAAGAAAGAAGTAATGGTGCCAGGTGTGCTAGTACACAATGTGATCCCAGCACTTGGGAGGCTGAGGCAAGAGGATTGCTTAGGGTTTGAGGCCAGCCTGGGCTACACAGTGAGACTTAGTCTCAAAAAAGCAAAACAAAATAAAAGTCATAGTGCTGTGCTAGAAACACAGGGGTGATAAAGACCAACCAGATCTTTGCCTTCATGGGATCTCATTCTAGTTGAAAAGACAGACAAGAAACAAACTAGAGCTGGGTGTGATGGTGCACATCTGTAATCCCAGCACTTGGGAGGAGGATTGACGAGTTTGAAACTAGCTAGGGCTACATAATGAGTTTAAGACCAGCCTGAACTGCATAGCAAGACCTTGTCTCAAAAAAAAAAAAAGACCACCCTGAACAACCTAGCAAGACTGTCATAGTACCACTGAGAAAATATCCGTGGGCTAGTGGTATACTCAGGGTAGAGCACCAATTTTTTTTTTTTTTTAAATTTTAAAGAGGAAAAAAATAAAATAAAATAAGCACCAATTCTGCAACAGTTTTCCTTGAATGCCTCAGACCAAAATAGTTTTCCTTTCCTCTAAACAGCCATAGCAGTCTGTGCCTTGATTATTACTTTCATCAAGTGCTCTTTGTATGACTGGTATTTCTACACCTGGTCTCTAGGGTAGGTGAGTAGTGCAAGGAGGAGCCCTTGGCCCCAAGGAGGGACTCCTGAAACCGTGCCTCCAGTTTTGTGGCTTTGTCACTCTGAGTTTCTGTCCCTATAACTGTTCTATTTGTCTTCAAGGCATTTATTACTACCTGATGTTATATATTTGTATACTACCTGATTTTCCTTCTAGAGAAACAATTCTATGAGGAAGTGGGTCTTTCATCATTGTTTTGTTCTGTGCTGGAGATGAAGTTCAGGGTCTCGTGCATGCTAAGCATGTGCAGTTCCACCGAACTATAGACTCTGCCCCAAGTGGGTAGATTTGGTCTGTTTTCTTCGCTTTCTCCCCAGTGTCTAGAACAGTGTCTGGCCCCTAGCAAGTGCTCAGAAATACTTGCTGAAGCAATTGTTAGCCAGCCTTGGTGAACCACTTCACCTCCTGAAGACCCTCATTTCCACCTCCTATGAACTGGGCTTGATAATATGGAGCAGTCTGTTGGGTCAGTGAGATAATAGGTCAGCAAAGGCCTGCTGGGTGCAGACTCCACATCCCTGGCCCAAGCCTTCGAGTTTGAAGCCCCAAAACTTATCCCAGACTGGTTCGCCTGATCATTTTTGGTCTGGAAGTAACCTGGAGCAAAAAGCCCAGGAACCCGGGTTCGGCGTATGTGCCGTCCAGTGGCTTTGCTGCTTTGGCATCAGGCACAGAAAAAGGGTGAACTGCCTCATTGTTCTGCCCATCTGAGATCTGCGCTGACAGTGGTACAGGCTCTCCTTAGCCTGAGTCTAAACCCAGCCAGCCCTTCCTGAGCCTCATGGGCTCGAGCTGTCGGCCAGACTGGCACTGGAGTGGCCAGAAAGCCCAGTAGGCAGAAAATCACATTCTTTTTTCTCCTTCTCCCAGGTGACTCTGAACAATGTGGAAGTCTGCAGTGAAAACATCTCCACTCTGAAGAAGACTCTGGAGGTACAGGGGAAGTTGCTGTCAGCTTTCCGCAGCTGTGCCTGTCTCATTTTGAGAAAGCCCTGTACACTCATCCTCATAGGGACCAGACCATTGCCTGCCACGGGGCCACACAAATAGTGATTCACTGGTGATTGACATGGTAGCAAAGCATATGTGGATCAGGGGGGAACGTCTGGCCCAAGAGTTGGAAGATCAGAATTCAAATTCGAGACAGGTGTGGTGGCACACACCTATAATCCTAGCACTCTGTGAGGCTCAGGCAGGAGGATCCCAAGCCCAGCCTGGTCAAGTTAGTGACTTAGCAAGATCTTGTCTCAAAAAATTAAAAAAGGTCTGGGGATGTAGCTCCATCCAGAGGCCCTGGATTCAATCCCCAGTACTGGAAACAAAAACAAAAATCACCACACACACACACACAAATTAGATCTTCCAACACATACTTGGCATATGACCTTTGCCAAGTCCCTTAATGCTCAAAAACTCAGTTCTTTCATCCGTGAAAGGAGTACTCACAGGCCTCCATCTTGCCCTCCTTTAAGTTTGTTGGGCAGTCTGATGAAAACAAGGTTGACAGAACTTGATAATAAAGTGCTTTTTAAATGACAAAGCCCTCTAGAAATGTAAGAGATTAGATAAGGTTCATCAAGCCCTGTACAAAACCCACTGGTACTGTTTATTAAAGGAAGGCAGCAGAAGTGAGATACATGGAATTCTCATCTCCATTGGACCTCTGAGGCGTTGTGTGGCATTAGGCGAGTTTTGTAACCTCTCTAAGCCTCATCCTCTCATTTGTAAAAGAGACCAGGACCCCTGCTCCACGGGGTTGTGGTGGGATGAATGCGCCCTGTTCGTGAGAAGCATTCAGTGGGTGTTATTAATTGTAACCACAGTTAAAAATAACAGCATGGAGCAGTTACTTTGCTAAGTATCAGGACATGAGGTGCCCAGTGCTTCCCACTCCTAGACTCAGCCTCAGGAAGGGGTCTGGTGTGGAGTGGGGGATGGCGGTGAGGAGGAGGCTGGGCCAGCACACAGGTCCAGTAACTAGCAGGAGTCCTGAGGCAGGCTCACAGAGAACAGTGAAATACGGACTAGGTTAGGAATGTACCCCTCGAGGCCTTAACATAATAAAATAAGATGACATAGTATACCAGTAGCATCGTCTGTTAGCATCTAATAAGGTGACTATCATCATTTGCCTGTTTTCGTTGTGCCAGTGATCAAACCCAGTGTTCTAACATCATGTGCCATGTTCTGCCCTAGAGTGACTGCACCAAACTGTTTAGTCAGGGCATTGGAGGGGAGCAGGCCCAAGCCAAGTTTGATAGCTGCCTTTCTGATCTGGCTGCTGTGTCCAACAAGTTCCGAGACCTCTTGCAGGTAAGGCCGAGGTTCAGCTGCTGCCCAAGTCCTGTCTCCATGTGCTGCTCTGAAAAGACTTGTTAAGAGGCTTACTGTGGGTGCCACTGTACACAAAGAAACAGAGAGGAGTGGGGTGGGGTAGCATGCCAGCCACTGGAGTAGTGCAGATCCCTGGAGACTAAAGGCTCCAGTGGATTTTCAGCAATTCAGCCATCACATTGACAAGCCAGTGTCTGCTCTTCTAGAGTCTCCACTTGGTCTCACAATGACAAGAGCCCTCAGAAAGATGCTCAGAGGAAATGCACCACGTGGTTCCTCTGACTCGCTGCTTGGCCTTAGCCACAGGTGCTGCCTAGCACCAGGCACTCTGAAATCTCTTGAGAATGTATGAGAACAGCTTCTGGGCCTCATCTCTAGACTTGAATCTGTCCAGATCTGGATGCCTTGTTCCAGACTCCTTTTATTAGCTTGGTCTCCGCTGTGCTTCCCACCAAGCGTGCAGAGAGCCTCAGCAAGAGGGAGCCCTGCAGTCAAGGAAGGGGTGGAGGAAGAGAGGGGGCAGAGTGGCCTGTTTGTGTCAGATGTGTCTCTGTCCTGTCTCTGCAGGAAGGGCTGGCGGAGCTCAACAGCACAGCAGTGAAGCCCCAGGTGCAGCCGTGGATCAACACCTTTCTCTCCGTCTCCCACAACATCGAGGAGGTCAGCCTGACCACAGCAGCCATCTGACTGGGCCTCCTCCTTACCCTCCTCCCCCAGTTGGAGTGCAGTGCAGCTGTCTGAACAGACTGGACCTTCCCTGCTGTCTAGCCCACCAAGACAGGCTTCCTCCCAGGAAACAGCTTGTTCCTGCGGTCAAAGGGCTCAGAAATATGTGAAGGGAGTTTGTCTTGACCTGACAAGTCCCTGTCGGTTGGTTGGTTGGTTTGTTGTTTGTTTGTTGCTTCGGATTGAACCCAAGGTCTTCCCACTGAGCTACATCCCCAGCCCTTTTCATTTTTTTGTTTTGAGACAGGGTCTTGCCAAGTCTGCTAAATTGCCCAGGCTGGACTTGAACTCACAATTCTCCACAATCCTCCTGCCTCAGCCTTGCAGATTGTTAGGCTTGCTAGTAATCCTCAGCTTATTGAGGCTGTTTTTTGCCTCACCTATCATAGACTAAATAGCCTTTGTCTCCCTAACTGAAAGACTTTACTGCTACAGAACATGAGCTGCAGGAGGAAGTAATGACCCAACCTGGGAGCCGCTGCTCCAGCCCAGGACAGTTTGCTGGCTGGAGGAGCGGTGATGGCAGCAGCAGGTTCTGCCAGCCCGGGGATCAAACTGATTTTAAACTGGAGGTATCAGAGCTGGGCGTGGTGGTACACGCCCATAATCCCACCACTCAAGAGGCTGAGGCAGGAAGGTCACTGCCAGTTTGAGGCCAGCCTGGGCTACGTGGTAAGTTCAAGGGCAGCCTGAACTACATAGCAAGACCCTGTCTCTAAATAAATAAACAAACTAGTGGAATCAAGCTACATACAGGGAGACAGGACCTCTCCCATTGTTTTCTTAGAAGGGTAGAGGTTAAATAGGGTTAGTGGTACTTCTGAGAAATAGGTCCATAGTGATACCGGCCCTCCTTGTTTCCTGACAATAGGAAGAATTCAACGATTACGAGGCCAATGACCCTTGGGTACAACAGTTCATTCTTAACCTGGAGCAGCAAATGTCAGAGTTCAAGGTGAGTGAGGGCTTACGGAATTACCTGCCACACTAGAACCTGCAGTTTGCCCCTCCTGTAGCAAACTCTGCAAGCCTTTCTGAGCCCCGTAACTGTCCCTTCCCCTGAAGATTCCAATGGGAAGCAGAGGGGCCAGGGGGCTCCCATGAATGTCACACCTCTCTGCAGGCCAGCCTGTCCCCAGTCATCTATGACAGCCTGACCAGCCTCCTGACCAGCCTTGTTGCCGTTGAGTTAGAGAAAGTGGTGCTGAAATCTTCCTTCAACCGGGTAAGATCAGGGCTTCATCTCCCCTGAGGGAAATCTCTCTCTCACACACACACACACACTCTGACCTCATCTCCCCTGAGGGAAATCTCACACACACACACCACCCCACTCCACCACCCCGACCCCCACGCCCCCACCCCATGACCTCTAGCCTCTCGATCCTATACATCTTCACCCAGCCTTGCCCTGGGTTCTGAGCTCCAGAGCACAGCATAGCCACAGCGCCCCACCTGAGGGGTAGCTGCGGCTAGGCTTACACAGAGAGACCAAAGCCTCTGTTCTACAGCTGGGCGGGCTGCAGTTTGACAAGGAGCTGAGGTCGCTCATTGCCTACCTCACCACGGTGACAACCTGGACCATCCGAGACAAGTTTGCCCGGCTCTCCCAGATGGCCACGATCCTAAATCTGGAGCGGGTATGTGGGGCTCCCTCAGTCTAGCCAGGGGAAGGTGCCTAGGCAGAGCCAAAGACAAATTTGGGTCCCTGCCACTTCTTCATGCTGCCAGCATCCTACTGCTCCCTGAGCACCCCTGCTTTGCCCTTGGCGGAGCCCAAGGCCTCCCTACAGGATAGCCTCATCTTCCTGACTTAGCTTCGTTCCTCCCCACAGGTGACTGAGATCCTAGATTACTGGGGTGCCAACTCGGGCCCACTGACGTGGCGCCTCACCCCTGCTGAAGTACGCCAGGTGCTGGCTTTGCGCATCGATTTCCGGCATGAGGACATCAAGCGGCTGCGCCTGTAGGCACCAGGGTGAGCCCACCCACCCCATCATACTTCCCCGCCTGTTCCCTAGCAGCCACAGCCAAGGAGCTGTGCGGCTGTCCAGCTTCCAGAAGCTCTGACACCTAGACCATTCCACCACTCTCAGCAGGAAACTCACTCCACGTTGGACTCACTCTACGACCCTCAGACCTAGCTGGTATGCTTCAGGAGAAGCCTTTGCCCTCCAAGAGATGGGGAAAACCAAAGCAGGCAGTGTGCGGGCCAGGCCAGCCTTCCACGTGGGCAGTCATTTTCTGGCCCCAAACTGCAGCAAACATGCTGCCCCTGCCAGGCCCCGAGGACCTAGGTGCATGTGGGGACCTGGGAATTAGATCTGACGTTGAAGACAGGCTGTGATGTTTATGAGTAAACGTCAGAATAAAGACACTGCTGGGAAGATGCCAGTGTGCGGTTCGAGGGAGGGCAGGCTGCGCTGGGGCAGGACAGGTCCACAGTCACACTGAAATGTGAAACCAGACGCCCAAGCCTCAGCCTCCTCCCACACCTCCCAGCTACTCCGGACCCTCATCCAGTCCTGGCCCCTCCCTTCCCTCATGGGTCCACAGCACCACGAGCTGGTCATCCCAGCGACCGTTTCCCACAGTGCCAGGAGATGTAGGAATTTCTCCTGGCAAAAATAAAAGCTTTGGGAGTACAACCTTGCCAAGCAAAGTGAATTTATTCCAAGAATGTCAGTCTTGAGAACCCCTTGCCCACCAGCACTGCTCACTAGGCACCTTGTGGTTGCTAGGTAAGGCCTGGGCTGGCAGGGACTTGCTGCAGCCCCACCCGGCCCAGTGCCACAGTCCTAGCAACGGAACCCCACCCTCACTCCACCTCTCCAGGAGGGCGGCAGCGTCTTGAGCGTGGAGTCTGCAGCCTTAAGTCAGACCACGGGAAAAGCTTCAAAAGACCTCCAGGATGAGCCTTACCAAGGGACCCCAGCCATCTGCTGACTGGTTGTCAGCCCCTTCTCCCAGGACCCTAGTGGACAGAGAAGGCCAAGGCTCTACTGGACTGTGTGATTTGTAAAGGCCACATAGGACTCTGAGCTTTGGCCCTGTCACCAGGAGGTACAGTCCTGTCCCCAAACACTGCCTCCCTGGCCTAAGTCTTGCTCCCCGTAGGGCACATTCAAAGAGGCGGGTGGGGAGCCAGGCTGAGACCGCGAGGGAAGGAAAGGCGCAGTGGCTGTAGCCCTGGCGTTGCCGCCTCAGCGGGCCCAGCCCCATGGCGTTGGACATCAGGTGGAGACCTCGTTACCCGGCAGCTGCAGGCTCAGGCCCTGCATGTCCACTTCCACCAGGTGAACGCTGTAGTTGCCAAGGCCCTGGACAGAACAGAAGATGGTCAGAGGCCTCTAGCCATCAGCCTTCTGGAGGCTGAGGACAGGGCTGGGGGACCTTGCAGATATAGCCCCTAGTGAGTTGGCAGGCCACAGTGAGGTCTCTTCCCTTAGCAGCTATCAACCCCGACACCTTCCGGTACCTCAGTCTTGGCCAGCACAGCCTCCAGAACTTCCTTTTGCTGTGGTTCCTTAGTCAGCAGATAGAGAAAGCCCCCGCCACCTGCCCCTGCCAGGCTCTGTCCGTGCACGTGGGGGGCCAGAACGTCCATCATCCGCCGCACAGCCAGGGGCTCACAGCCTGGGGCCATGAGCTTCTTCTGCTCCCAGTACGAGGTCAGGTACAGACCCAGGAGAGGCAGGCTTCCTGTGGGGGGCGCAGAGTGAGGAGTTGTGTTCCCCAGGCCCCGACACTCAGTGCCGCTTTATGGAGTGAAGGAAGTGCAGGCATCATGGGTGACCCAGCTCCACTGCTGGCTGGAAGCAGTAGTAAAGCCTCTTGCACAGGGCTGCAGACTAAAGTCCACGAACCAACCAACCCAGCAGAGAGAACCACGTAGCACACACGTGGAGCCCTGTTCTGCCAAACTCCCTGCCCGACACAGTGCCAAGCCTCTTCCCCATCTGCTTCCTGGCAGGTGGCGCTGGAGGACCCTTCCCATGAAGCAGGTTTAGTCCTGAGATTCACCTCCCGTCCATGTGAAACCCGGGATCAGACACAGGAGACTTCTGTGCCCCGGACCTAGTATCAGATGTGCTAGGCCTTGCAAAGGCCCCCAGCCTGTGAGACCCAAAAGTGACCAAGGTTTCCTCCACGGGAAGAGCAGCTCACCTTGGCGGAAGGCTTCAGCACACTCCTCTGTCTGCTGCACCAGGTTGTGGGCATTGTGCACCACGGCAGGCAGCCGGGCGTACCAACTCCTCAGCACATCCTGCACAGGCGCAAGGGGGCGCAGTGAGGGTCCCAGCCCAGCTAAGCCATCCGCCCCGCTCACCCTGGGCTGTGCTTACCTGCAGCAGATTCCGAGCCAGACGGGTCTTGCCGGTGTACACCAGGAGCAGGTGCTCATTGAGCTTCTGCACGAAGCCTTCAGGCACAGTGATCTCTTCTACCTCCACCCTCAGCGGCAGCTGGGGCCGGGAGCGCCCCACCTTGATGCCAGGCATCAGGCCACCCACCTGGTCCTGCCAGCCACCTCCTGCAAGCCGAGGGCCCTATGTTTGTTGAAGCCTATCTGGCCCAGACCAGGCTCCTGGCCCTCTACCCTTGGTTGGGACCAGCTGGGACAGGTGAGCTGTGTGGCCCTTGGCGGGAACAAGCCACCCCCAGCAAGGGAAGGAGCTGCAGTCCAGAGCCAAGCCTGGAATTCACAAGGCTTGCCTTTCAGTGCAGATCTAATGTGCAAACCACACCCCAGGACTGTATAGTAACCTCTCCCCTCCGGGGAAGTTGTGCCAGAGGAGAAGGGACAGAGCTTCCCTGCAACCTAATGATCCCCCTGTACTCTGTCTTCTCAGAGTGTTTATGGTAGAAATAGGCTTTTTAGTACCTCTCATTTTTCTCTTTATTTACCTTGAAAGAGCTATATACATCTTTAGTAAGGAAAAGTATGATCTTTTTCCCATGCAGCTATATTAAAAAAATGACAAACCCAGGTGACGTGGTGCGGGCCTGTAAGCTTAAGACACTTAAGAAGATGAGGTAGAAGGATCACAAGTTCAAGACTAGCCTGGGTAGGAGCTGGGGATTTAGCTCAGCAGCAAAGCGCCTACCTGGCAAGCGCAAGGTCGTGAGTTCGATTCCCGGTACCGGAGAAAAACCAAAAAAAACCAAAAGACTAGCCTGGGTGGGGCCAGGCGTGGTGGTGCACACCTGTAATCCCAGCACTTGGGAGGCTGAGGCAGGAGGATCGTTGCAAGCTTGAGACCAGCCTGGGCTACAAAGTGAGCTCAAGGCCAGCCTGAACTGCATAGGAGGACCCTGTTTCAAAAAAGACCAGCACTTGGCCTGGCAAGTGCAACGTCGTGAGTTCAATTCCCGGTAGTGGAAAAAAAACAAAAATGAAGAAAGACAGACAGACAAACAGACTACCCTGGGCAACTTAGACCCTATCTCAAAAAAATTTGGTTAGGGATGTAGCTCAGTGGTGAAGCACTTGCCTAGCATGTGCAAGGCATTCAAAGAATGAAGGGAGGCAGGCAGACAAAACAAGAGCTACTTCTGAACAGGGTCTCAGTTCAGTGGCAGGGAGTCCTAGGGACTGAACCCAGAGGCACTCAGCCACTGAGCTACATCCCCAGTCCTTTCTTTTGAGATAGGATCTCACTAAATTCCCCAGGCAGGACTTGAGCTTGTGATCCTCCTGCTTCAGTGCTGGGATACAGACGTGTATCACTGTAGCTAGGCCCTCAATATTTGAGGGAGGGCTTGCAAAGACTTAAAAAATACAGAATGCCAATGGCAGGGTGCAGCTGAGACTTTAACAGCCAGAACACAGTGGTAGGATAGAACTGGACATGTCAGACTCCTCAGAGTGCCTCTCTCCTTCAGGGCACTTAGCAGTCCGACACAACACATTCTCTTGAGTGGTTGTTAATATCCGTCTCCTACCTTGTGACTGTTAGGGGCAAGGACCTTGTTTTCGTGCATTTTATCCCCAGGACTCAATAGTGGGTTCTCAATACATAGCTGTCAGTTGACTAAAATAAGAACTTGAATCAAAACCTCCTCAAAAGGAAATAGGACCATGGAACCCTCTCGATAATGACTACCCACTAGGGATGTGAGTCATGACGATGGCAGGAGGGGGCTGGGCTGCAAAGGCCTAGAGAAGACACCATAATCGGGCATCTGCACGTCTCTGTGGCAGCTTCCTTCAGTGTCCCGCAGAGAGGAGGCCTGGCTGAACAGAACACCCCAGGATCTGGAACCAGTCAAATCTCTGGCCACTCCACATTGTGAACAAGGTGCCATCGTGGCCAGGAGGAGAGAAGCCTGGCACCAGGAACATCCCGTTAGATCATAGCCTGGGCCGGGGCCTTGCTGCTCCACCATATGGCCAGGGAGCAGTGATGGTACAGATGGTCACTGCCCAAGGGAGAGGCAGGCTGTCAGCAGGACAGGCCCAGGGCCCACCCTCTATTCCAAACCCCGCTCTGGTGAAGGACAGCATGGACAGAGGCAGGGTCACAAAGACTTGCACGTGAGCTGGGTGTGGTGGTGCTCACCTGCAGTCCCACAACTTTTAAGGAGCAACAGCTGTGCAACTACTAGAAAATCCCATGCCAATAGAGAAGCGCCTCCCAAGGCGCTCGGGAAGGTAGGAGACCTCCCTCTGCCCCGGGCCGTCACGTACCTGTGGTGAGCACCTGTTCCAGGTGCAGCACTGCGTGGATCAAGGCCTCTGTGCCCACGGCGCGGCCTGCAGCCCGTTGCAAGGCAGCCAGGGCAGCGCCAGCCAGGATGCTGCTAGTGCCTGCAGGTGCAGAGCAAAGGTGCCAGGCGTGAGCTGCCTCTGCCCAGCTCAGTCCCGTCCCACTCTGCCGTGCACAGACCAGGGAGGGGGAGCGCAGCTCAGGCTGGAGAGCTGTGACACCGTGGGGGGACAACAAGGCCAGGACCCACTCACCGAGACCGGAGCCATGGGGCAGCTCAGACCAAGTGTGTAGCTCAAAGCCACCCCCAAACGTCTGCAGCAGCTGTTGGCACAGCGGGAGCTCGGAGTGGACGTGCACGATCCCCGCACAGATAAAGGCCGCCTTCAGCAGGGCCCCTGCGGAGGGAAGGGCACAAAGCAAGGAATTTGGTCCCCTCGGACACCGATCCAACAGCCCACATCCCCCTGCAGCTTCCCAGGCCAGAATGGGGCACGTGGTGGGACAAAAGCCTAGCAGCAGGACAGACGCCATCCTTAAGCTACAAAAGGGCTTGAGGTCATCTTTTTCCTGTGCCTGGGTATGCCCAGGCAGCACTCAGGACTCCCCAGCCACTCTGGCCAGCACTCAGGCCAGCCCCAGTGGCCTGCACAGAGGCATCTCCGGGTTCTGCCCCCTCCCAGCTGGCTGGGCATCCTGCCCTACCTGCAGCTGTCCTGGGATGCTCTGACCTGGCGCGTGGGGCTGGCAGTAATCCTGCAGGTCATCCAGGCTCCGGCACACTATCTTCACAGCCTTCTCATCCTGCCGAGACCCCACCGCCAGCCACAGCTCGGGCTCCAGGATGCGGCGTGCCCTGGCCCCGATGGGCCGGCGGCCGTCCACTCGCACAGCCAGACCCAGCACTGCCCCACCAAGTTCATAGGCAAGAGGTGGCG